TACTTCAGGACAGTCGAACTCCCGAGGGACGCAGAAGGTCCCGGAAGCACCAGCACACCTCAGTTTTGTCACGTGGCCATGCCGAGCTGCTTCGCTTTGACGCCTATATTTCGCATGCGCCTCACCATCTCAAATCGTCTCGACGTCTCGTCTCACAAGTCCCAGAGGCTGCTTGGCAGTGCTGTCGCACCAAGGGTCAGGGCACGGTCCGGGGTAGCACTCCTCCACGAAGCGCCTCGGGCTGTGAAGAGCGGATTTTCGACAGGATGCCTGGAGCATTTGGCCAGGCGGCTGCACGATGTCCTGGCCAAGTTTCTGGAGTAGGACGCTTTGGGAGACTGTGGAGACTGAAGAATCTGTTGAAATGTCCCACGGTTTTGGCTTCGTTTCAGCACAACCAGCACCCTCTCCATGAGACTCAGCTGCCCCGTTGCTGCAAACGCTGCGACGGTCAAGCAACATTCTTCCTAGAAATGAAGGCAAGGACAACCAGAAAACTGCAGAACTCCGGCAGCACAAACAGCACCCTCAATGAACTCACATGTTCGCGAGGCTGCTGGGTAGGTCCCGTACAAACAGCACTCCAGCCTCAAAGTACGTCTTGCTGCAGAGCTGGTCATCTCCACAAGTCTTCGGGCAGACCGGGAACCGCTCCTGAGTGAGCGCCGTGTGTTTTTTTCTGCTTGAGCAAGCACCGCTGTCACCCTGCGTGCCTTCCACAGGCAGATGTACAGACCCGAATCCTGAAGGCACGGTTTGTTTTCGGGCCTCTCCAATGGACATGCTACAGCTGATTCTTCAGAGTTTGAAGGCCCTGCCGTACTGGCACCGGCACAAGCCCTGCACGTCCTGGTCTTGGCATCGGTGCTCGTTGTCTTCGCAGATGCACCCAACACTGTCGGCACAGCTCTTGTTCCCTCGGTCAAAGCGTCAAGGCTTCAAGATCTGCTGTGCAGACCACGTGATCGTTGAGATCTGAATCCCTTCCTCCAGGCCAAAGCACCCGAAGCGTGATGGCAAATAGGATACTCGCCGCAGTCCAGGGGACCTGTGTTCCGGGATCCCACGTGACGTCATGAGGCATGCCATCTCTCGTTTCTTCTCTTTGGATTCTGAATTAGAGCAGACTGAAGGCTCCTTACCTGCCACGGCCTCCAGCAGCTTCGCTGCAGCCAGGGGACAGTCTTGGGCCTTAGGGTAGCACGCAGATAGGCCCTCACACCTCTTCTCCCAGGTGTCGTCGCAGGGGCAGCCTGCCAGACTGCCAAACCGAACGCAAGCCCTGCGTTGCATGAAGTAACGGTCCTGTGGCCGTTGCGTGGCAGCTCTTCTCCGGCAACGTGCTACCGTCGACTCGGCCCGTGTCCTTGGGGCCAAGGCCAGGTGCACCGAAACCCTATGCGAAGAGACATGCCGCCACGTCGCGTCGAAAGGGGCTGACCAGCATGGGAGCCTCGAAGCCATAAGGTGAGGATGGAAGGAGGCCACGCTCAAGTTCGCTTCTTGCCACATGGACAACCACAGACGGCCGAATCCGATCGAGGCGCTCCTCAGCGCTGCAGTACCTCAAAGCGATGACCCATCGCACTTCTGGCACGACTCAGCTCATCCGACCGAGGACAGTAGATGCATCCGGCGTGCACGGGACAGGGCCCGAGAATCTTGGGCTGGCAGAACAACGTTGAGTTGTTGGGTTGGCCTGAGCCGTGCAACTGACATGCCAAAGAAAAACCACAGCAATGTTCAAGAACGAAGAACGCCTCTCATGTCATTGCAGGACGAAGTGTATGTCTTAAGGCTCTGCGATCCTGCTGTCTATGACGGCAGGATGGCTCTAAAGCAGACTGCCGGGACTTACCGCAATGCGGCAATGCTGACGGGAAACAACGTGCGGCGTGCTGGTGCAGGCGGGTATGAGTACAAAATCTACGAGGTGCGCAATCGATGAAAACGTTACAAGCCTCATGATGTTGCGAGTACGCTGCGGTTCTGAATCCGCAAAGGCGGCCTTAGGGACGAGGACCCGTTCGGGGATAACTAATTCAACTCCCGGGGAGTGCTTGCATCATCGCCATCATCATCATCATCAACAACAACAACAACGCACCTTCGCTAAACGGCCTGAGATCCCGGCAGATCCACTCGTGGAGGTCGTTGCAGGGGCACGGTCTTGGTTCGTGGTTCAAAGGCTTTGCGGAACAAGGGGCCTTAGGGGACCACTTACGAATCGCCGATGGTAAGTACTGCTCCAAACTCAGAAATAACAAGGTCACTTGGCCAAAACCATCTAAACATCAACCGTCTGACCAAAATCATAAAATATCTCATGGCATAGGAAGCTTTACAATCTGGGGTCTGAGCAAAGACGAGTTCAGGCAACGCCACTCGGGCGGTGGCAGGTCCGTCGGCTGGCCTCGTCGTTCTTCCGAGCAGCCCCTCACTCTCTGCTGGTTCTGCAGATTCCGGGGCCGCAGCCATGAAGGTCGTAGGCTGTGATGGAACAGGCCTGGCGTCAACTTTGAGGTGCAGGCTGCTGAACAACGGTGGAAGCTTGGGGCTCCCGCACGTTGCCCCGCAGGGCAACGCAGTCCTGGCAAAGCCCTACCGAGGTATCAGAGTCTCGGAATCGCAGTGCTGCGATACGACCACACCTCCAGGGTCGGCTGAGCTGCCCTGCACAAAATAGTGAAGTAGTGCGGCTCCTTACGGCTCCTGACTGTGACGCTCTGGCCTCGACGGTGGTTGTGCCAACACCGCTAGTACTGCTGCTGCTCGTAGTCGCGGTGCCAGTGCCGCTGCTCGTAGTTGTGCTGCGCGTGGTGGCGGTACCAGTGCTGCTGCGGGTGGTGCCAGTAGCAGTGCTGCTGGTCGGGACAGTGCCAGTGCTGCCGGTGGTCGTGGCAGTGCCAGTGCTGCTGCTGCTGCTCGTTGCAGTGGCAGTGGCAGTGCTGCTAGCTGATGCCGCGGCCGTACCAGTGCTGCTGGTGAAAGTGGCAGTGGCAGTGCTCGTGGTTGATGCTGTGGCTGTCCCAGTGCTGCTGCTGCTGCTGCTGCTGGTCGTGGCGGTGGTGCTGGTGGTGCTGGTGGTGCTGGTGGTGCTGGTGGTGCTGGTGGTGGTGGTGCTGGTGGTGCTGGTGCTGCTTGTTGTGCCCGTGGAAGATGATGACGTTGCGGACGTTGTTGATGAAGCAGTGGCCTCAGTCAGAAGTGCTCCCCCACTTTACGGCCCCGCTCTCACGTGCTCAAGACAAGTTCTGGCCTTCAAACATCACGCTAAACACCAGTGCCGCCGTCCGCAAGAATCTCATTCTTTCGAGGGCAGCTGGGGGGAGGGATATGAGCCGTTCGTCAACCAAGCTGCAGCTGGCACTTCTTTTCTGTGCAGAGCTGAGCCTGACAACGAAGCCACAGGTCCAAGGTCCCGGCGGTGGTGCTCGAGGTAGCGGTTACCTCGGTGGCAGCTCAGGTCTTATTTCTTCTTAGAAGACACGGTAACTTCGGTAACTCTCTTGTTAGGAGGGGGAGCAGTTTCTGTTCACTTGTTCAGAGCATAGCAAATCCTGGCAAATGAGATCGCTGCTGCCGTGCGAGGTGCTAGGAGGTACAGGACCGCTCAAACTGTCGTTCAAGAGACAGAAAACCTTTCGTCGTTCGACACAACAAACGGGGAGATTCCGTCATCTTTGTCTTCCCCCCGCCCGTGGCCTCGCTCGGAAGTGCCCCTTTTCGGCGTGGCGCTACTTGTTGCCGGAACTGCTGCTGCTGCCACTGCTAACACACCGGCGGCCCAGGCGGGCACGCGCTTTGCGATAATGTTTAGGGCTCTATAGCGCGGTCTGCCATGCGCAGCCCAGGTGACGGTGGATGTTGTGGAACTCGTTCTGGTCATGCTGCTCGAGGTCTGCCAGCGCTTGGTAAAACACACGCGCGCACCAAAAAATCAACAAAAAATGTCTCCCCGGCACCTGGGTTGCGGTGGCGCTGCTCGAGACGCACACAAGCGTCCTAACTCACCGTCGCAGCTGGCAGATGCCAGGCCTTGGTGGTGGTGCTCGTGGTGGTCGCGGTGGTCGTGGTGGTGGTCGGACTTCCCTGCACAGGTCAGGGTGCCGGCACTGTCTGGCACACAGGCTCAAACAAGGGGCAAAAGTGTCATTAGTGTCAATCATGTCAACGTGACACGCTTCAACCTACCAGCACGCGTGCCGAGCCAACTTCGACGGAGCCCAAATGGCCGAAAACAGCTCCAGTACTGCAGGAAAGTGTACACTGCGACGCTGTGACGACTTCACAGGCCTCGAAGCTCATGAGAAAGACATCGTTTGAACCGGCATTGGTGTAGCCATCCAGCGAGGAAGTTGTGAAGCCCGCGGCGATGAGGTTGTTGTTCGGGTCGACCTGCAGCGGGGAGCCAGCGCAGCCTCTTCTTGACCCAGTGTTCACGAAACCCCATCAACGGCCCGAAGCCGGACTCATGCAAAAACTTCAATCCTTCCACCTGGAACTGGCGCTTGGGGCGGTTGTCAGTTCGCTGAGGCCTCTGGGCTCTGGGTATGCACGAACGAAGTGGGAGCCTAAAGTAGCCTAGCAGGACATTAGCCCATGAACCCCAGTCGGCCCCAGAGATCATTCCCGGATCGCGCTTTTCGGCACAGGTCCAACGGTCAGAACCCTCCCAAATTTGCTGGGCGTATGGATCCTAAAAGCATCCCCTCTCATCCTGCTGGCCAATTTTGACAGTTTTTGGCCTTTCCTTTGGGGGCGATCCGGAGATTTGTAAAGGCCCCTGGAAGCCTTCCCCCTGCTGCTACTTCTTGCTGGGAACTGCAACTGCACATGCACCTGCAGCCAGGGCTACTGCAAACGCCGCTACACAGCCGGCTGCCCACACGCTCCCTCGCTCCCCCCACTCCCTGCCTGCAGGGCAGTGAAGTAGTCTCCGCCGGAGCCTGGGCGGAGGGCTGGGGTCCGGGCGCTGCTTTGCGAACTGCCGTCCCTCTCTACTTGCAGGAACGACCCTGGAGCCTCCGCGCTGCACGGTCCATTGCCAGGCGCCGGTGCTGTCGAAGCTCATGATCAAAGCATCTTCTGAACCGGCATGGGTGTAGCCATCCAGCGAGGAAGATGTACCGCCCGCGGCGATGAGGTTGCCGTTCCAGTCGACCTGCAGCGGGGAGCCGGTGCAGCCTCTTCTTGACCCAGTGTTCACGAAACCCCATCAACGGCCCGAAGCCGGAAGCGTGAAGCCGAGCATTATGCAAAAACTTCAAACCTTCCACCTGTAACCTGCAAGAAAGCCTGGCACTTGGGGCGGTTGTCAGTTAGCTGAGGCCTCTGGCCTCTGGCTATGCACGAACGAAGTGGGAGCCTAGCATGACCTTAGCCCATGAACCCCAGTCGGCCCCAGAGATCCGGATCGCGCTTATTGGCACAGATCCAACGGTCAGAACCTTCCCGGAATTGCTGGGCGTAAAGATCCTAAAAGCATCCGCCTCTCATCCTGGAGCTCTCGGAAAGCGGGGGGGGGGGTGGGGCTGGCCAATTTTGTCAGTCTTTGGCCTTTCCTTTGCGGCCCTTGGGGGCGATCCGGAGATTCGTAAAGGCCACTGGAAGCCCTGCCCCAACTACTGCTACTTCTTGCTGGGAACTGCTGCTGCACATGCACCTGCAGCCAGGGCCAATGCACGCCATGCGCTTGCGAATAATATTACGCCTCGAGCTCCGAACTCTCTGCAAACGGCGCTGCACACAGCCCGCTGCCCACGCTCCCTCGCTGCCCCCGCTCCCTGCCTGCAGGGCACGGAAGCGATCCATGTCGGAGCCTGGGCGGAGGGCTGGGCTCCGGGCGCTGCTCTGCGGTCGGTCAGCTGTCCCTCTCTTGGAACGTTGCAAGAATTCAGACTAAACTGACCCTTGAGCCTCCGCGCTGCACGGTCCATTGCCAGGCGCCGGTGCTGTCGAAGCTCATGAGCAAAGCATCGGATGAACCGGCATTGGTGTAGCCATCCAGCCAGGAATCTGTGGAGCCCGCGGCGATGAGGTTGCCGTTCGGGTGGACCTGCAGCGGGGAGCCAGTGCAACCTCTTCTTGACCCAGGGTTCACGAAACCCCATCACCTGTTCTTGCCTGCTTTGGGTATGCACGAACGAGGTAGCCTCGCATGGCCTTGGCCCACGAACCCCAGAGATCGTTTCCGGATCGCGCTTTTTGGCACAGATCCAACGGTCAAAACCCTCCCGGAATTGCTGGCCGTAGAGATCCTCAAAGCATCCGCCTCTCATCCTCGAGCTCTCGGAAGGCTGGGGATTCCTCATCCCGGCAGATAGAGGCCTTCGGCGGTCTTTGCTGTAGGCCTCCTCGTCTTTTGCGATGCTGTGCATGTGCTTCATATCCAGGAGCCAATTTAAATTTTGCATCTGCTGCCACTCAGCCCTGGCCCTATCTCTGCTGTGCCTCCAGCTCCTGGCCAATTTTGATAGTTTTTGGCCTTTCATTTGCGCGAGCCGGAGATTTGTAAAGGCCCCTGGAAGCCTTGTCCCTGCTGCTACTAATTCTTGCTGGGAACTGCTGCTGCAAATGCACCTGCAGCCAGGGCTAATGCACGCCATGTGCTTGCGATACTACTACGCCTCGAGCTCCCAACTCTCTGCAAACGGCGCTGCACACAGCCCGCTGCCCACACTCCCTCGCTCCCCCCACTCCCTGCCTGCAGGGCAGTGAAGTAGTCTCCGCCGGAGCCTGGGCGGAGGGCTGGGCTCCGGGCGCTGCTCTGCGGTCTGCTGTCCCTCTCTTACTCTTGGCACGTTGCAAGAAACTCAGACTGAACTTGCAGGAACCACCCTGGAGCCTCCGCGCTGCACGGTCCATTGCCAGGTGCCGGTGCTGTCGAAGCTCATGAGAAAAGCATCGGATGAACCGGCATTGGTGTAGCCATCCAGTGAGGACGATGTGTAGCCCGCGGCGATGAGGTTGCCGTTCGGGTGGACCTGCAGCGGGGAGCCAGTGCAGCCTCTTCTTGACCCAGGGTTCACGAAACCCCATCACCTGTTCTTGCCTGCTTTGGGTATGCACGAACGAGGTGGGAGCCTATAGTAGCCTCGCATGGCCTTGGCCCATGAACCCCAGAGATCGTTTCCGGATCGCGCTTTTTGGCACATATCCAACGGTCAAAACCCTCCCGGAATTGCTGGCCGTAGAGATCCTCAAAGCATCCGCCTCTCATCCTCGAGCTCTCGGAAGGCTGGGGGTTCCTCATCCCGGCAGATAGAGGCCTTGGGCGGTCTTTGCTGTAGGCCTCCTCGTCTTTTGCGATGCTGTGCATGTGCTTCATATCCAGAAGGAGCCAATTTAAATTTTGCATCTGCTGCCACTCAGCCCTGGCCCTATCTCTGCTGTGCCTCCAGCTCCTGGCCAATTTTGATAGTTTTTGGCCTTTCATTTGCGCGAGCCGGAGATTTGTAAAGGCCCCTGGAAGCCTTGCCCCTGCTGCTACTAATTCTTGCTGGGAACTGCTGCTGCAAATGCACCTGCAGCCAGGGCTAATGCACGCCATGTGCTTGCGATACTACTACGCCTCGAGCTCCCAACTCTCTGCAAACGGCGCTGCACACAGCCCGCTGCCCACACTCCCTCGCTGCCCCCACTCCCTGCCTGCAGGGCTTCGAAGACGTCATCGAGGGAGCCTGGGCGGAGGGCTGGGCTCCGGGCGCTGCTCTGCGGTCTGCTGTCCCTCTCTTACTCTTGGCACGTTGCAAGAAACTCAGACAAAACTTGCAGGAACCACCCTGGAGCCTCCGCGCTGCACGGTCCATTGCCAGGTGCCGGTGCTGTCGACGCTCATGAGCAAAGTATCGGATGAACCGGCATTGGTGTAGCCATCCAACGACGAAGATGTGAAGCCTGCGGCGATGAGGTTGCCGTTCGGGTGGACCTGCAGCGGGGAGCCAGTGCAGCCTCTTCTTGACCCAGGGTTCACGAAACCCCATCACCTGTTCTTGCCTGCTTTGGGTATGCACGAACGAGGTGGGAGCCTATAGTAGCCTCGCATGGCCTTGGCCCATGAACCCCAGAGATCGTTTCCGGATCGCGCTTTTTGGCACAGATCCAACGGTCAAAACCCTCCCGGAATTGCTGGCCGTAGAGATCCTCAAAGCATCCGCCTCTCATCCTGGAGCTCTCGGAAGGCTGGGGGTTCCTCATCCCGGCAGATAGAGGCCTTCGGCGGTGTTTGCTGTAGGACTGTAAGCCTCCTCGTCTTTTGCGATGCTGTGCATGTGCTTCATATCCAGAAGGAGCCAATTAAAATTTTGCATCTGCTGCCACTCAGCCCTGGCCCTATCTCTGCTGTGCCTCCAGCTCCTGGCCAATTTTGATAGTTTTTGGCCTTTCATTTGCGGTCCTTGGGGGCGATCCGGAGATTTGTAAAGGTCCCTGGAAGGCCTGCCCCAACTACTCCTACTTCTTGCTGGGAGCTGCTGCTGCACATGCACCTGCAGCCAGGGCTAATGCACGCCATGCGCTTGCGATAATATTACGCCTCGAGCTCCGAACTCTCTGCAAACGGCGCTGCACGGCCGGCTGCCCCTGCTCCCTCGCTCCCCCCGCTCCCTGCCTGCAGGGCACGGAAGCGATCCATGTCGGAGCCTGGGCGGAGGGCTGGGCTCCGGGCGATGCTCTGCGGTCGGTCAGCTGTCCCTCTCTTGGAACGTTGCAAGAATTCAGACTAAACTGACCCTTGAGCCTCCGCGCTGCACGGTCCATTGCCAGGCGCCGGTGCTGTCGAAGCTCATGATCAAAGCATCTTCTGAACCGGCATGGGTGTAGCCATCCAGCGAGGAAGATGTACCGCCCGCGGCGATGAGGTTGCCGTTCGGGTGGACCTGCAGCGGGAAGCCGGCATCGCGCCTCTGGCCTCTGGGTATGCGCGAACGAGGCGGGAACCTACAGAAGCCAGAACCCTCCCGGGATTGCTGGGCATAAAAAGATCCTAAAAGCATCCATGCGATGCTGTGCATGTGTTTCATATCCAGAAGGCGCCAATTCTGCTGCCGATACAGCTACTGCTTGCTGGGACCTGCTGCTGCAAATGCACCTGCAAGCCCTGGCTACAATGATCGCTATGCGCTTGTGCGGAAAGCACTGGCAGCGTATGGGCTTTTTTGGTCGCTAGCATGCAACGTGTAGTCTGTGAAACTTCTGCCTGCTTGCATCCTGCGGTTGTGCTTTAAGCAGACCGGAACATGCTCGTGGCGGGCAACATGTCTCTGCGCACAATTGCTTTCGGGCCAGCTTGAGAAGTCGGCCGGCACGCAGATAAAAGGACTGAGGCTGTACTGCACTCTGGAGAATCTCACTCCCTCTTTATAGTCAGCCTCAGGACCAGAGTCGTTCAGCAGGTTCTCGGCTTCGGCAGCAGCTTCTTGTCGTCGCTGTCGCCGTTGGTCAGCCTGAGCCTCGCCGTCCTTGTCCTTTGCCACCTTTCGCCTTTGGCGTTCCGCCTGCTTGCGCTCCTTCAGCTTCTGGTTCTCACGGGTCTGGACCAGAGTGGTCATGCCCGTCCGAAGGAATTCCCGCAGGGTGTCCTTCTCGGCGTTGTGCTTGGTGAGCACGTTGGACACGTTCTGTAGGCCATCAATCCAGCGCACGTGTGCGCCAGGCTTGCGCACCGTCTCTCGAAGGAGGGCTCCTTCGATCGCCATCCTCTTGTCGCTGCTGGTGCTCGTTGATTCTTTAGCCAGGTAGTCGAAAACGGAGCGGGCATCGGTGACATACACCCTCTGCCGCTTCTCGATGACGCTCGGCCACCCTTTCAAATCCACTTGCCACGTCAGGGCTTCTTCCAGCAGCACAATGGCCCAATCACCAGCTTCAATGGCCTCGGCCAAATGGCTGGCCTCAGCCGCCAGCGTGTTTCGGCAGACCCGTTTGGTCTGTGAAGAGTGGTAGGCCAATATGTTGGCCCGCGCCGTCTTGCCCTCCAAGATCTCAGGGTTCGCCGCCAGGGTGAAATAGCCACCGACGCTGCGGTAACGCGTTTCCTCCTTGTAGGCGGGGGTCCCGTTGGCGTGGCCACTGTCCGCCAAGTGCACGATCACACAGTTGCGCAGGTCCACATCAGCCCAATAGCGTTGCCGGAAGTCGGCACCACGCCTGGCTTGCCCCACATACTGTTTCAAACGCACCAGGTCCGCCACACAAGGGTCACCTTTGCACCTTTGGACCACCCCGTTCTCATATGCTAGATCGCAACGAAGTTGTCTTGTGATCCAGCCCAGCTCGCCCGAGACGCTCTGGAAGGTCTCCAGCTCTTGTGGCGTGAGGCCGTCGGTGAGCTGGCGCCGCCGTTCCTGTCCTATGGACACCGTCTTCATACTCAAGTCTTAGTTGCGCATGCTCACGTCGATGTGGTTTTGCGGCCCTTGCTTTACCTCCCGCCCTCTAAAGATAAAGTCCCGGAAATAATGGTTGGTGGCGAAGTCGAGGGCAACGGAGGACTTCTGGAAGGCCTTGTCGAGCCAGCCATCCTTGACCCCGCCTTCGATGTCGTCCACGTGGGTCACCAGGATGCCGACTAACTCGCTTTGTTCCCGAAGGTAAAAGAGAGCAGGCTCTAGACGGCTCTCAACCCAACCGTCGGATTCCAAATGCTCTTTCAAAGCCAGCCAGAACATCCGGGCTGCCTCGGCAAAACCATAAATGGCCTTCCTCGCTCTCAAGAGCTGTCCCGGCTTAAGCCCCGGCAGGCCGCCGCGAGGTGGCTGGCCGCTGAAGTAGGCATTCTTGACGTCCTTCGCCAACAGGGTGAAGCCCAAGAACGCGCAAATGGCAAGACAAATGCTTTCTGCCGTTGCGCTGGCTGTCGGGGCGTCTCTTCGGTAATACACCACAAGCCTGGACTTGGCCTGAAACTCTTTGCCCTCTAGGCCCTCGGTCTTGTTCGTTCGCACCCACCTCGTAGGCACAATGAGGTCGGCCTTCTCGCGTCGAACTTGGGCGCTTTCGGCAAGGCTCAGGAATTCCACGGCCTCTTTGGCTTTCCAAGCGGTCCACTCCTTTTGGTCGGAGCCTTCCGGTCCAGTGAAGAGGTCCTGCTTCTCGCGGCTGAGCTCGTTCAGCTGTAGCTCCCTTCGCCCCTTCTTCTTCCAGGGCGTTGCCGGCAGCCATCGCCTGGTATTTGTGCTCAAAGTCGTTCCGCCTAAAGCCGAAGAGGAACTCGCTCTCTGAAACTCCCCAAGCCAGGTAAGCGGACTCGTGCTTGCGGTAAGTCTCCCTGGCCTTGTGCGCCAGGTAGGCCTGGGACTCGTAGGCCACATAAACGCAACAGGTTTCGGCTGCATAGCTTGCGGTCTCTCCAGGCTCGACGGTTCTGAGCCGCTTGGCTTCTCTCTCGGCTGCCTCCGCCTCGGGATCCTCAACCACAGGGCTCGTGGTAGTCATGGATCTCGGGATCGAAATACATAGACCGGGCTCTCCTCCAGGTCGGGGTCCTCGGCCCCGGTGGGATCTACAGGGACCTCTGACGCGGACGGCGGTGGTGCCCTCGGCCCGGCTGTCTCCGAGCTTGGTCTTGCCTCTGTCCGAGCTTGCTTCCTCCTCTGCTCCTGGGCCCGGAAAAACTCACGAGAGCGCCGATGCCGTTGAGCATCACGCTCTGAATCTTGGGAACCCGAGCTCCATTCTCCGACCTCGGCTGGTAAAGGTGGTGGCTCCGGTAAAGCCGCCGGTGCACCCCAGGTTCGGGAAGAGGAGGTCTTTCACCTTGGCGAATGTCTATGTACCCTGTGCCCCCTGCAGCAGGCATCAGGTCCATGAGCTCGGTTTCGTTGCCAATGGCGGTCCAGCTCTGAACTTCATCTTCGCTATAGCGTGTGCCACCTGCTCCGGGCTTGCCGCCACCAAGATC